TTTATAATTTTGCATTATTTTTTATGTCCACGTGGGCAAATATATATGTTTAAAATACGGTATTAAATAGTCTAGGGAGATAATAGGTCCTCATGAAAGTTTAGTATCGCAACAGCAAATCCGACCAAAGTTGAGGTATTTTTCAGACCCTTATCCCTAATAATAAATATCAATTAGTAGTTAAATTTAATAAGTATTAATAAAGTAGAGTTCATTAGTTTTAGTTAAGTAATTTTTTTTTTAATTCGAATACAACCAACAAGAATATAATGTGGAATATCCATAAAATTTTAGTGATTCTATGCCGAACTTATAAAAGATATAAGTTGGTGAGAATATAATTATGGTTTGAAAAATAAAAATAATATACTAATTTTTTTCAGAAAGAGATTCAAACTTACTTCTTCGAAATCTTCATTGATTCAACAATATAATTCTTGATTTCTTTCCCTTCAAATAATAACTCGACAACATTGTCATATAACTTTTTAAAAATATGAGATTTAAAATCTTAAATATAAAATATGTTAGCTTATTCTCTACCTTTAACTTGCTCTTGAAAAAGATGATTGATGATGTAAAAAAATTATTTACACTAATGGTGTATGTTACTTTATTCATCTCGAATTATCTATAGTTTCTAAAAATAGTTGTCTCAAATTATTTGTCATTTTAAAAGTTTATCAAGATAAAATTAATTATTTTCCTATTATCCTTAGTAGTGATTGTTTTAGAGGACTACAGACGTATCGATAGAATAAATATTTAATGAAGAAAGATTATATATTAAGACATAAAATATAATGTATTCTTAAGAGATGTGTAAAAGAGAAACATGAAAAATAATTTTGAGACAAAGGGAATATTTAATTACTTTTAAACTCTAAAAGTATAGCTTTTTCACAATTTTTATAATTAAAACGGACTACACAATGTTATGAGTAAGGCATAAGCTGGAATATCCCATAATAATATTCATAGTATAAAAATTAAAAATATACAGTCAAAAAATTAATTATCGGAATTTACTAAGAAAAATTGATAACTATATATATACACTTTGTTTGTTACCATTGTGAAATTAAGAAAACATCTCTTTTGTGTTTCTAAAAATCCTATCTACTCTCAAGTTGAATTAAAAGTTGTCAAAGGTTTGATTTTTTTTTTGCCATTTGCCATTTAAATGATCAATATGTGTATTTATTTAGTTATTATAGATGTTTCATGATTTGGTTTAATTTTTTGCTCACATCACCTCTCATTTTCAAGTTAGTTTGAAAAAAAAAACATTTTTTGTGGGTTAGTTGTAATATTTTTGGGATTGTTTTCTTTTTCTTGTGTTGTGTTTTTAAATTAGTTCATTGTTTATGTTTCATGTATTAATCATCATCACATGCATAGTATAATATGGTAGGTATTAGGTAACATATTTTTCAAAAATAATTAGCGGTAATTGAGTTAATGTCATTATATTTAGATTCGCTTAAGTCTTTACTGATATTTATATAAAGTGTTAGTTATAAATATTCATATTTGTTCTTGTCGCTAAGTCTTTTATTTTTTATAGTGAAAGCATCACTTGTTAGTAGGGTATGAGAAAGGGCGAGTCGCACCTTAAGTGGTGTGATATTGTAGACAACCTACCGTAATGCAATAATGTTAGTTGCATTGTTTCTTGTTTAGAGGATAATTATATCTATTACTAGCTAGAAGGGGTCGGGTCACAGTGATCAGTCAGAGCGACTCATGTTTATCAATTAAAAATGAGTGAGGGGTCAAATATACACTTGAATATCTCGATATGTTTTTGAGTTTCTTACTGGTATTTGAGTTTCTTATTTAAACTATCATCAATTATTTATCAACGCACATCTCAACTATCGATTGTTCCTTTTTCCTGCATGGACGATGGTGATATTTCAGGTAGGTAGGAAAATGGAACAATTGATATATAGTCAAGGTGTGTTTTTATCTTAACCAAGAGGTCTCGGGTTCGAG